GCAATCAGTGCTTTCATAAGGCTCTGGTGATTCTGACAACAGAGCCTGAGAACCTCTGTTCTCAGGAATACTTAAATGGCTCCTTGGAGTTCTTTGATGTCTTATCAGCCTTAACACAACATGACCTAGATTGTAAGTACTTTTGGCTTAAGCTAAGAGATGGTGGTACCCCAATGGAACCAGTTTACAGGACTGAGAGAGATACAGACTGGGATGCTCAGGCTGTGAGGAATTATAGATGCATCCAGAGATGTGGGAGTGTGGAGGAACTTTCAAGGGTAAAATCAAGTCTGTAGGCTGTTTCCAAACAAACTTTTCTGATCATGTGGCTCTGGGGCCGGAGTCAGTGTTACACCATTGGGGCAAATAGCCAGTGCTAGGTAAGTGTTCTTGTTAATGTGGCTTGTCTGAGCCTCTGGGACCTTGAGGAGCTTCCTGATGAAAGCTCTGTTACAGACACATGTGCAGGAGGTGCTGGGCACACCAGGCATGCAAAGATGTGGGTGTTTAAACAGCACTTCTTTTCAAGTACTTCACTGGGACACTGGCAGCTTCCATAGGACAGAGTGTAAGTGGCCATTATGTCAATCACCTCTCTTGTTGATTAGACACCTTCTCTTGCCTACAAATACCCGAAAGGCACATTCTCAGATTTAAGAAGTTTCTCTAATAAGGACTTTGGGACAGCTCTTGCTGAAAGCCTACTGACTCTTCTCTGGGCCTGCGGATACCCAGTGGGTAACTAAGCGACAGATGAAAGTTTGACATCTCTCCTTCACTTTGCATCGGTGTTCTCTGCTCCCTTAAAACGCTGGGTCAGATTCTTGCTCAACCCTGCACGTAGCCATATGAACACCCACGTAAAGCTGGTAATCTTTCTCCTTTGAAGCAGGGGGCAATACAACTGTAGCTCAATCATTTGAAGACTTGCAGGAACACACAATCAACACATGCCCTGTTTGGAGCAAGCCGTTCTCTCCTGCAGATACCAAGGGTTCCAGGAATAGCAGGGCTGTTCAGGAAGATGATCCCATTATGAAACTACCCCCCGAGTAAGAACAGTTACCCATGAAGGGACCTGATATGCCCTGCCCTGCCCTGTCCCACTAAGTAAGCAGGAGCTATCACGGTGGGAACACAATTGCCCCTCAAACGATAAGGATTTCTCCAGGACCTCATAGAACCAGACTTAAGACAACAATCAGCCAAGCCCAGCGTGACCAAGACCTACGCAAGCCTCTTGCCCTTGCTCCAGTTCTTCCTCCATTTAAACCTCTCACTCATGTCAGTACCCTGCACACAGGGCTGAGGACACCTTTCCCCTGTTTTGCCAGTACAGCTGCACTGATTAAACCCCTTTCTTGATTTTTAACATTACTTTCTGTCTTTGTCTCTCCCCCGACCCCCATCTGGAACATCTCATGTTCCAGTTGAAAGGCAGGTAATGAAAACAGTCATGAGTTCTGGCAAGGAAGTTGACCCTGCCAGTAGTGAAGGGGATAAGATAGCTGTGCATAGTTCCATGTTCAGATGGTAGATGTGGTTCCACTAGGAAACCGAAGAGTACACGAACGCGTGCACAGCCGGTTACTATGCTAATGTTATTCATATGGACATATGAACAAGGTTTAATTTTCCTCTGAAACTGTGAATGTATTTTTATTTTTAGAACGAAATTTTGAATATCACATTATAGGATTAGTTTATTGATCTATTAACAAAATAAAGTGACTTGGTCAATAAGCATCACAAAGGAATAGGAATATACAATTTTAATCCCATGTTTAACTCAACCATACTCAATTTGCACAAGAAATATTATATGGTCACCCTATCTATGAACAATGCATATAGCTGTTTGGGCTTTATGCTTGAATTTTGAAATAAATGGTATGTTACTGGACATTCCTTTGCAATTCACAAGTTTTTTAAAAAATCTGACATTGTGATTTGGAGATTGATTAAAATTTACGCAGGTATATTCAGATCACTTGTTTCAACTGTGGAACTACCACCCGCATTTCAAAATCTGTTACAAGAATAGACACTGATTATTTATGCATACCACTGTATAGAGACAGCTGTGTTTCTATTCTCAGTAAACTGCTGTTTCGGAAATTACTGTTAGGACCATGTATGCAGGTATTGAAGAAGATGCATCTCTTGTTCAATTTCTGTAAGGCTGTAGAACTGCTCTGCAGAGTCTTGATAGACTGGCATTCATAGCATCCGGTACAAAAGCACTGATCAATATATGTAAACAACACTTAATACTGTAAGAGAGTTAAATTTGGGCTCCTCAGGGAGAGTGCCATGTTATAAAACTAGCTTCTTGATTTTCCGCTCATTGGTCAGTACATAGACATATTGCCATGTTCATTTCTTATTGTAGTTTTTCTCCTAAATGGTATTTTATCTACTCATTTGGTTCCATCTTTATTTTGTACCTATGGAACAGATCGACATTATAACTTATGACAATGCTCACTTAGTTTTGTTCTATTTTCTAAGCATCGTCCCGTCCCCTGCATTCTGTTTCCTTGGTTTAGCTTTAGACTCATTCTTCCATGTAGTAAATGCTTCAGCTTAGCTTGCGGATGGAGGGAAAATAATCTCAATGCTGGTTCAGAGGGTCATTTCCTCTTGTCAGTACACAGCCGTATTGCTGAGCACAGAGGTGCAAGTTCCAAGGCGCATCTCTCCACCATTGGCCACGGCCCCACCGTCACTTCTGTTGGGAGCCACCCATACCATCGTTCTCATCTAGTCCATCTCTTCTTGTTTAATTTTAAGACTTCCTTTTCCTGGGGTTTTTTTTCCTTGATGGAATGGAATTCATTTTATTTGTCATGATTAGGATGAGCTCACACATGTGAATTCTGGGACTTTCTATTCTGTTTAAAGGCAGCTATGAACTCTGTTGTTTCTGTGCTTTCTCCTTTTACAGTAAGCACATTCATGATCTTGAAACGTAATTACATTTTACTCAGTAATTTTAACAAGAGGATTTTCCTATTGTTTTATGTGTCCGTGTTTCTGGTCCCAGTATCTCTGACACCGGACAGTCCAGTTCTTGCTAGTCCAGTTCTGTCTACATGTCTATGCCTATGAGATGAAGGGCAGAGGAATAAACTTCTACTGCGTAAAGGCAGTTATTAGGTGTTTTCTCTGCATGCGGCCCCAAATAACCCTGGCCTGCCATAATCTATTTATATTGAACAATAAAAGATTAAGAAAAATACATTAATATTGTCAAAGTAACAAAAGGAAAAATATCTGCTCTGGTTTGACTATCTGTGGCCTCTCCAAATTCATGATGAAATTTTCTGCCAGTGTGATATTAAGATGTGGGACCCTCAGGACCATAGGAGTGTGACCAATGTCATAAAAAAGAATTCATGGGACTGAAGAGATGGCTCAGCAGTTAAGAACACTGGCTGTTCTTGCAGAGGACCTGGGTTCAAATCCCAGTACCCACATGGAGGCTAACAACCTTCCATAACTCCAATTCCAGGGCATCTGACAGCCTCTTCTGTCCTCTGCAGGCACTGCACAACATGGGTGCACTTACACACATGCATTCTTCTGTATAAAAATAAGTACATTGAAAAAAAAATTTAAGCAAATTCATGACTATTATAAGTCAAACAAGGGAAGACTCCACCTTGAATGTGCAAGAAGTTAGAGTATGTGGCCCCCAAATATGTCTTTTTGGCATGAGGACTATTTTGAGCCAGCTCTTTGAAGAAACAACAACCACACACTTGGTTCCTTGGCCCTCGTGACCCCTCTGCCAAGTGAGGACACAGTCTTCATCTTCTCCATGGAAGGTACCAGCAAGGTGCCCCCTTGCAAACAGAAGCCAGATCCTCACCAACTCCCAACCTGCCAGGACCTTGGCCTGGGATCTTCCAGGCTCCAGAGCTATGAGGAATACTTTTCATGCTTCATAAATTACAAGTCTTGAGGTGCCGGAGAGATGGCTCATTGATTAAGAGCACTGACTGTCTTGCAGAGGACCCGGGTTCAATTCCCAGCCCCCATATGGCAGCTAACAACTGTCTGTAACTCCAGTTCCAGGCAAATCCGAAGGCCTCTTCTGTCCTCCGTGGGCATCATACAACATGGGTGCACTTACATAAATGCAGGCAATACACTCATACACATAAAATTAAAATAAAATGTTAAAAATAAATTTTAAAATAAATAAATTACAAGTCATTGAGTATTTTGCTATTATAACCTAAATTTGCGTTTATCAAGGAAAAGCACTTGAGAGGAACTGGAGCGTGAGGAGAAAGGAGGCGCTTCGCACCAGGGTCACACCGGCCTTGTGACAGGTCAGAGAATGGGAAGACAGAGAAAAACACCTTTTGACAGGATTTTTTGTTTATTCGGGGTCTTTTGGTTATTTTGAGACAGGGTCTCCTTGAGGCCCCAGCTGGCCTGGAACTCACTATATAAGCCAATTTGGTCTCAGTCTCACAGATATTCACCTGTCTCTGCCTCCTGAGTGCTGAGATTAAGGGCATGCATCACAAAGCCAAGTTAATTTTTGACTTTTTAAAGTTTCGATGTATTATTGAAAATACAGTCAAGCAAAATACATTTAAGGAAATAATACTGTAAAAAGGACATGTGTGCCCCTCAGTCATATACTCAAACCCTAATGCCACTTATCACATGTCCCCACTACTCCCAGCTCCCCAGAAAGAGTGAAATATCACACATGCTATGGTGACCCAGGCATCATATTCACCATCCCGTATGCTCACCACATGTAAGGAGCCTCTTCGGGTATTGGACTTAGCGTTACATGTAATCCCCTCACATTTTACAACTGTGTCCTCTCCTTAGAAAGTCTTCTTGTGATGACCTAGAGACTCCAGCCCCAAAAATATCCTGAATCAAATGTAGGAAGGTGAGGCCGCTCCCTGGGGCGAGGTCATTAAACAAAAACAAAACATCATAGGAACTTTGGACAGAGGCACTGAGCTTACCTGGATTGCTGGCTATGGCAGAACCAGTCCTACTGTCTGGGTCCAGAACAATCGCCAGCCCCACCGAGTCCGCTGGCAGGATGTAGCTGCTGAGGTCCACTCGGGTCAAACTCTTGGGCTCCCGAGCAGAGCCCCCCAAGGTGTTTCGGGCTTTGTCCCCTTCAGAGGCATTTGTTTCCTGATCTTTCCTCCACGGTCTCTGCACAATGTGAACGATGCTCTGCTGTTCCAGGTCACAGCCCTAGGTGGGAGCGGAGCAGAAACACAAGAAAACGGCAAGCGTGAAGTGCTAGGCAGGAGGTTAACTCTTCCTCAGTCCCAGAGTGTGCAAGAGAGAGAAAAGGCTATTTGTGTTCAACTCCTGCATGTGGGAGTGGGTGGGCATTGGGGTGTGCAGTTGATTGATGTAGGCACACTTATTCTGCCCGTGAGGCCCCAGAACTTACGCGCTACACATGATAGACAGGCAGCATGGAACTGGGGCCAGAAATGGACGTTTGAGGCCAAGTGGAGCACAGCAACAGAAAACTATGTAAACATCGAAAGATTATGAAACCCAGTAGGAAAAACACCCTGATGCATTCATAAGGACGTAAGTGCCAAGCAAGTAATACAGATTTAAGACTGATTCACCTCCTAAGTGCTTTGTCCTTATAATTACCTGATTTAAACGCTGGCAGCCATTTCTGTTTTATAAAGCACTGAAAGGTATTATCAGTTACAAGGCATTTCTCTACAGAATCCTAATAACTGTGCTTGTGAAGGGTAGCGGTCCCTTCTCACCGTCCTCTGTCACTAGAAAGTATACTGCTACGTCCTTGAGAAAGCCAGGGTAGGGTTCATTTACCCTTCTGCCATCCTTGTGATTAAAATCAGGAAACATTTACAAAAATGCTCTGTACTCCTATCTTGGTGTTTATAGACAGGAGCCTCTAAAATCTAGAAAAATAAAAATTAAGAGTCAGAGATTTGCTAGGGAAAGACCCAGTTCAGAATAAGTACTAGATAGAAACAGCATGGTTCTGCCTCTCTACTGGAACTAGGACCAGACTCCGTCCTCAGTGCCTGCATCTCTGCATTCACATGCTTCTTACCCTCCTCTGTCATGGAAGGAATGGTCCACAGATGCCACACGCAGCACAGCTTCCTGACACACAATGTAGTCTTTGCCCTTCTAGACTCCCTCAAGCTCTCTTCTGACTGTCACTGTCAAAGTTCTTCCAAAGCGGTGACCTCTGCCATTCAGCTGCACCCACAGTCAAGCACACAGGAGACAGGCTGGTGTCTGTCTCCTCCAGGCAGGAGGTCTCCAGGATGTGAGCATTCCAACTTGTTGCCATCCTCCTGCCCTGGGCTTCTCTTACACTGACAGGCTTGCTCTGTTCCCAGTCCAGGGTCTCCCCAGCATGATCCCTATTCATCAAGAGTCATTGTACGCCATGTTTGCCATCATCCTCTGTCCCCAAGCCCTCCCCTATCTGACTTCCTTACTTCTATCAAAGCACCACTGCCAGACTCCACAGCACCTCAAGGCCCCTCCTCCCACCTAAGGTGCTGGTTAGCCTTCTCTGGAATTGAACAGGCTTAGTTCCTGCCTCAGGCTCCTCCTCCCACCTTGGTACATCCAGCAGGGTGGCCAGAGGGACTGAGTAGGTACCAGAAACAGCTTCACATCTCCATCTCCTTCATATACCCCTTCCCACCTCCCTATTGTAGGAAGTTCATTACCAACCACCATGGTTTAATGATTAATTATCCCCTATATGTCTGGTTTCTGCCTGTTCCAATCTTTGGAACAGAATCTTTGCTGTGTGCTACATAAGCCGACGTGTCTGACTCCCCACTAAGTAAAGTCCAGCGTCACCCTCTTCTGTAGATGTGCTGATACTTTGCTCCTTCCAGAGCTCTGTCACGTAATAATTTTAATGCTCTTTACAAGCTCTTCATTGTTCAAGGAGTAAAGGAGACCAATCTCCACGAGCATTTACAGTGGCTCATCTATAGGTGCACACCACACTCCTTTCTCCTCTCCTATCACATGTAGCGTGTGCTCAGCCCTGTGATGGCTTTGGACAATGTGATATTAGCAGATATGCTAGAAAATAGCTTTACCCTGGTGCTAAGGTCCTGCAGAAAGAATATCCCTAAGCACTTCACCCCTTCAGAGTGGGTTTTGGAACGTCACACATGAAGCCCTGAGCCCAGCCACAGAATCAAAGACTCACTCGGATGGAGCTAGCCTAGGCCACAGGCTCCTGCTGGTGTGAAAACATGTGCGGACAGACCTGTGCCCAGTGGCCCTATGTCTCTTCCCACAAAGCAGAGGATCTGCCATCACTTCACGTGGCAGCCTTGGCATTTAGGCAGCAGGCAGGATCCTCACAGCCTATTGCAGAGTTCTAACACCAAAGAGCGCGAGACCTGAGCACCCCGAAGGGCAGGCATGTGAGGGTGGGGCCTTGCAACGAGAAGGAGCTGAGAACAGAGGAGCACTTCAGAGCAGGCCGTACTCCACGCTGCCTTCCTTCTCAAAGAGACTCAGGAACTCAGGCAGGTGGGATGCTGCCTTCTGTGTTCAGGACAGACGTGCTCCATGACCCTCTTAGAAAAAAAAGGGGTGCCTTTCTCCTTTGATTCCCAAAAGCCTTTGTCTGCCAAGGTCTACCTATTACAGTGTTTACAGATTGGACAGTATGTACTACCTGTGTGTATGAGTGTGTGTGCGTGCGTGTGTGCCCGTGTGTCTATTCATGTGCATGTGCATGCCTGTGCACATGTATGTGCATGTGTGTGCGTGTGTGCCTGTGTGTGTGCAGTGTTTACAGATTGGACAGTATGTACTACCTGTGTGTATGAGTGTGTGTGTGCGTGTGTGTGCCTGTGTGTGTGCCTATGTATGTGCATGCCTGTGTACATGTATGTGCATGTGTGTGCGTGTGTGCCTGTGTGTGTGTGTGTGTGTACTCCAAGTTAATCTGGAAATTTTTTAGGGTAGTAACCAGGTCATACTTCCATGTACATTTATCAGATGCCTCACACAGCACTTTGAATCTGACAGATATGCACAATGCACTTGTGAAGTGAAAAAAAGCATAAAAATATGATAAAAAGCATGACTGAGGTGAAAAAGAGTGAATGGGTGGATGTCAGTAGCCTCAGCTCCCTGCCTACGGGGCCTCATGGGTGTGGCGGGAAGAACACCACAAGAAGACCTGTGTGGACAAAGCCGACCAAACGCCATGTGCTTGCAGCTTGTTTGGCTGGAGGGGCAGTGAGCAGTCGTCCTCCCTATGGATTGGCTTCCATGCTGATGATGACATTATCAACTTCAAAGACTGCTGCAAAGATATGGAGAAATGGAAGGCACTGTGTACCCAGTGCTGTCACCATCATCACGTGAGCAGCAACACAGCCTCAGAACCTATTGCTCTGTGCCACTCACCATCCTACTGAAAACGAACAGAAAACGCAGATGCTATGGATGTGGAAATTCTGGCAAAAACTCAGCTTTCTGTAATTTATAAATTAACGCAAAACTTCCCCTCTGTTCATATTCCAGGGAGCCCAAGAGGAGCCCGAACACACTGTCAGAGGTAAGTGTGGAAGACACCCAAGAGCTGAGTTATCCTCTCCTCTCAAATCCAGGTTTTCCAAATACTCAGAGAATCACTGCAAAGGGGAACAGAAGGACCCCGAGCAGATTTCAGTATTTACAGTGCCATTTATAGAACATATTTCCATGTCTCCACCCATGGTTTGGGGCTTTTTAATTGCTTAATTCTTTAACTCTCTCACAGAAAGCACTGCTAATCTCAGAAGAGATCATGCCAGATGGTACATATCACACCGGCCCAGTGCAAAGCCACGTTAATAACTAACCCCATGGACAATAATTCAATAATTTGGATTAAGTTCAGCTGTGTGATCACTCCAAAGCCCAAATAATATGTAGTTCACAAGATGTTCCCAGCTCTCTCTGACAAGGCCTTCAGTAGAGGACCATCTCAGCCTGAATAACGTACCTGTGCGAATTACTCCAGACAATTAATAACTGTCATCTACTGCTTGGTTTATATTATATATATGCTTTTTAATATAAAAATAATTCCCTTTGAAGGCATGTATCTGGGATCCAAATATTTCAGAGTTTGGTAATCTAATTAGGATTTTGAAAATAAGAAAAATTTTAGAAACGAGAAGTTTTCAAAAATGTTCTTGAAGTTTTAAACCTTGGAGAAATATTTTCTCTCATAAGAAAAGTTACTGGGAAATGAAAAGTTATCAGAATGTTTACCAAACACTCAATGCAGAGGTGTGTAAATCATTACTAAACAGTTCATAATGAGATGCTAGAAGACATCACATCCTAACACAGTATCCACACTCTGCATGGGAACCAAAGTGATTGCCCCGGTTTGAATGTACCTCAAATTCAAATGCTGAGAATCAACTGCCAATGTGATAGCCTGAAGAGGAGGAGGGGAGACTGAGGAACTGACCAAGGCATCGGACGGAGCCTCCCCAGTAGGCCCTTAGGGAGCAGACAGGTGAGTGTGCATCTTTTCTGCCCTTCTGTTCCTGTGACAAGTGAGGATGCAGCCAAGGTGCCCCTCAGACGTCCATGGGGCATCTAGAGCCTGATAGTCCCAAACTTTCGAACGGCCAGACATAAATAGCTGTTCACTGTGAACTTTCCAGTCTAAGGCATTTGTGCAGCCACACAGTCTAAGACGACATCATTAACGAGTTAGTTTGAAACACATGAGAACTGTGCCCAGGACCTATGAAGTTATTTGCATGTCATTTATTGTGGCTGCCATGGTAATTCCATTTCCACTGCACACACAGAAGATGAGGGAGCCACAGGTAAGTTAGGAAATGGGCCCAGGGCCACCCACCTCTTCACTGTGAAGCAGAGACACCCACAGCTTCTCTCAGCTCTGAGTGTGTGGGAAGGAGAGAGACAAGGATGGCAGAGGAGGGCAGAAGGCCAGTCTACAGTGGTCTGTGGTGAAAGCCGGCCCCAAAACTGCAGGGGATCCAGTGCCAGTTAAAAGGGTCGAGTGAAAGAGGCCAATGCCTTGTGTGTAAAACTCTAGAAAAGACAGTTCCCGGCAGGGACAATGGAGCACAAATCAAAGGAAATTTAATTCCACCTGATTTGAAGCAAAGTGAAAGAAGATGGAAGAGCCGGGGTCAGTTTCAGAGGACTCAGAGCAGGGACGTGAGGGCTGGGAGACA